TTTGTATTCAACGAAACCATTTCCATGTCGGAATGGCCTGGCGCCTATCGCCTTTGACGATGACAACATTTATTGAAATAGGTGTATGCAAGCAGGCAAGCAGGCAAGCATGAGGACATCATGTATAATATATAGCAACACTTACATTCCGATTCAGAATCCAAAAGTCCACTGCTTTTGTGTTTCTTAACAGTTTTCTCTTGTTTCTTTGGCTCCTTTGAAGGTAACTTGTCCAGTTCTTTTTGCCTTGGGACGAACTGACGACGGAAATGTTTCATCCCTATATGCAATAAAAAAAGTATATTGCTTGCGGTTCTGTATAGTATTTTCACAATGTCTTTATTTTACATTTGATAAGACGGTCCGGCCCAAACCAGATGTTTGTATTTGATTTGATTTTTACTTAGAGAGGAGAATCTGAGAACCCAAAGTAAAACACTCGGAGCGCAGGAGAGAACCGACGAGCAGCTCAAGTGGGAATGAAACAATGTGATTGGCTGAGTTTAATATGATACTGATTTTCATCACTCCTGATCGGTTCTATTTGTTGAATTATCTTTCCGTAAACATTTGACAATTATTCGCCCAAGGCGAAGTGGATATCGGGACTCGCGTCTCGGTAAATATTCCCCAATATTCACTGAGGCTGAGGCAAATGATTGTTTTAGTGTAAATACACAGGGGATTCTTTTAAAAAAAGAAAAAAAAGAAGATAAAGACACATATTTTCCGGTAACAGCAACAGAGCGGCTGGCCGCCATTTTGGATTATCGCTCGAGATGATTATCGTGTGATAGTGTGAGTTTCTCGACCAATCAGCGCGCGAGATTTTCAATAATCACCTGTGTATTTTTACTAATGATTGAGATTGGTAAACGTTAGAAAAGTGGTTCCAACAATATGATTGGCTGAGGTCAATATGCCACTGATTCTCCTTACTCCTGATTGGCTCTAGTCTTCCGTCAACATTTATTATGATTGGTTAATAGTGTAAAAGTGGCTTCAGTTAGAGAGTCTGAACCGTAAAAAGAATCTCGACGGTTTACTTACCATTTCTTAACAAGGTAGAACTGAAGACTGGCATGGCCTGAAGATAGTTGTTGGAAATGGCACGAGATAGATATCTGAGGGCGCCATTCTCAGCCTGGATGAACTGCAGCTTGAAATTTGCTGCTGTTTTCATATCCTCTTCGCTAAAAAAAAAAAAGTTATTTTCAGACACAAATTCATATAAATGTTTTAAATTTTTATTTTTATGCGTTGCCGAGTCCCCCTCGTGCCAGGTGATCTCGTTTTGACAGCCCATCAAAAACCAGCCAATCATCGCGCAGGACGATATCTGATCAGGAAGTCCATCGGAAAAAACATGGCGACCGAAGTCTGAAAAAATTGCTCTGAATTTCTGCTTCCTTCCCCACCTACGTTATAGACTAGCAATATATTTAAAATTCTACCTATTCTTAAAGTGCCTATCACCCTTCTGACAATATTCTCAGTATTGATTCTACATGGGGTAAGATGTTGAATAACCCGAAAAAATTACATAGTTTGAGTGCAGCTTCTTGAAGTTATGAAGGTTTTTTCATGTCATATGCTAATGCTGTGACGTATGAGGAGGCATTTATGGTTATTTGTTGTTCCTCGTAATTCGAAACACCGGCTTCTATGGGAAAACTAACTTGCAATCATTTCTATAAGAGTAATGGGGAACACAATGACGTATTTCAAATTTAATTTATCTGTACCAGTAGTGTTTTGTATATTAAATGATTACTCCTCATACGTCACAGCATTAGCATACGGCGTGGAAAAACCTTTATAATTTCAAGATGCCGCACTCAAACTATGTAATTTTTTCGGGTTATTCAACATCTTACCCCATGTAGAATCAATACTGAGAATATCGTCAGAAGGGTGATAGGCACTTTAAATAACGAATACCTATGGGTCAAATGGTGCATTGTTATTTTCTTTTTCTTTTCTTTTCTTTTCTTTTTTTCTTTTTTCTTTTGAATTTATCGTGAAATGATAGCTCTTTGTTCGCTGATAAACAACGGGAGTAGGACCGCCTGATCAACTACAACAATCCTTTGCCCGCATTTCCAGAGATCACCTTGTGAGAAGCTGATTTCGAGTATACGACACACTCCTCATTCCACACTCACTACCACTACATTTATTGTTTTATGCAAACGAATCTCAACGCATTAATATTGATCTTTGGGGAGGGAGGAAAAATGGAGAAACCGGAGAAAACCGTCGTGCCAACGTAGAGGACAACAGATCAAACAAACTCTATTGAAATGACGTCCGTAGGACTTGAACCAGCGATCTGATCCGTTTGGAGAGTGGTGAGCAGAGTGGTGAGCAACACGTGCGTAAAGGTTCTAAATTCCGAAATGCGAGCATAAACAAGGGCGGATCCAGCCAAAATGTTAGGAGTATCTATTTGAGTTAAGGAGGGGGGGGGGCAAGGGGGGAGGGGGCTAATTGAGTTTCTTCCGTCAACACAACGGAAAACAATAAAAAAAGCATCTAATTCTTCAGTTTTGGTTCTGGATCCGCCCATGATAAAAAGCTGGCGCGAGAAGCACGTTCGAGACCATGTTACGCTGGCGAGGAATATTTCTGTCAGATGACTAACCTGAAGCTTGTGACTGTTGCCTTGGAGAAGTTAGGATCTTGTGTGTAAGCATCATAAAGCTTGAAGAAAGTTACAGACATGTGTTAGTGCCATGGGGTGCATGTGATATAATGGCCGCCATTTTTGTTTGGTTTTAGCGTCTGCACTTCAGGCTATCACATTTCTTATTATAATTTCTCTGATTACCGCCATTTGAATTGCTACGCGGCCACCCTAGACAAATATCGCGACGTGCATTATGCAATAGACTGCCGTAAAGCAAACACGTTGACAGCATTTGCACGCGTGTGTGATTCAAAAGGCGCCAAAACTTGTCGATTGTTTACGAGCCACACTCACCAGGCCTATCCGGCCCGACCCAAACGCGTGTAAATGACGTAAACGTATTTGATTGACGGCAGTCTAAATTTCTTTTAATTGATATTTGCGCACTAATTAATAATTAATTAATACTTAATAACTCAAACAAAGAACCTTATACTGAAGAGAATGACACATGGTCTGAAATGGAAGACATTACGCCTAAGGTAAAGAGGTATATCTAGAATACCCCTTGACAGAAGCAAATGGACTTTAAGAATAGACCACTGGTAGCCTAGCCAATCAGAATACTTACTGCTTTCTCGATCTCAGCTTTAAAAATCTTGTACTTGGCTGAGTTCTTGTTGCGGTAGTCTGGGTGCCAGTTTTGCTTGAATCTCAGAGAAGCCTTGATTTCGTTGTTCTCGTCTATGAATGATAAAAAATGAGGATACAAAATATAATACTTAAACCTGCGCGCGCAATATACCATTTGTACTATCAAGTCAGCTGACCTTACCACTTTAAAACGCGAACAGGGGCTGAAACAGACACTAAGAAAAAGAGGAGTATTTTTATTTCAAAAGTTTAGTGTCTTGAAAACGTTTCCAAACAAATCCTTGTAATCTATTTAATCTTGGGTCCTTTTTGAATCAAGACGATTTAGAAGATCGTTAGTTGTCGATTAATATGGGTGTGTTTCTTTGAGCCTCACCTGTTGGCCAGTCGAGGAAAACTCGGCATCTCTCTGTAGCATAATCCGAGCAGTCGCTAGGCATTGGTTTAAATGAGCGGCCAGTGGCCTTAGCCATATCCTTCTCCTTGTCCTTTGGTTCATCTTGCTTTGGCGGATAGATAGGTTGCAATGCGTACCCAGATTGTTGAGGGTACCCAGAATGGGGTACTTGAGGTAAGAGTGGTGCCATTGCCATGTTAGGCTGAGGGGGCCCAATGCCGATCCCTGCGGGATTCATAACGGGACCTCCAGGGGAGCTGAAACTCATTGGGGTTATGTGTACTGTTGCACCAAGGGTATTCAGTGTCACTGGACCATACGCAGGTTTGCCTTTGCCAGATTTGACGTTAACTCCAGGTCCGACATTACCTCCACCTCCTCCTCCTCCGCCTCCTCCTCCGCCTCCTCCACCACCTCCCAGCCCTTCTTCTCCACCAGTTCCTAAGATCAAAGATAATAGACTTATTTAATCGATTTGAGCGCAATGTTTTCCCATCTTAAGCCATGTGTCGTTCCCTTGAGAATACGTTCACTTTGAGTTGTATCGATATTCATGTACCTTCTCATTTGCAACCGTTAAACAAAGAAACGATGCTCTAGGGAATGACAAGCGGTATAAACTTAAAAATATATATATACGCCGAAGGTAAAGTGGTCTATTTTTAACTAAACCTATACAAACAACAAGGGGTCTAGCGAGGTCTTGATTACAGAGGCTTTGCACCATCACTTGATGGTAGCCATGACTGGGGGCAGGTACAATTGAATCTGGTCTAATCTGATTTACACTAGAAAGGATTCAGTTTCCCAGGGGGAAAATACTCTATTGTTGTGCCCCTGTCATGGCTGCCATCACGTGATGGTGCAAAGACTCTATATAGAGAGGGGTCAATGTACCTTTTCCCCGCCAAATCCACAGGAATCCCGCATGACTGAATTAAATTTTGGGGTCGAAAGCAAACTTTTTCACCGCGCTAGTGCAAACCACTTACCAGCTATTCCTTCTTTAAATGACGACTGGTGATGAATCCAGTGAGGATGCTCATAATCGACTTCGTTCTCGGCACCAGGTCCCTCGTATTCGTATTCTGAGTCTATTTCTTCAGTTGATGGTATGTCCGGTGTTTCTGCTGCTGTAGACTCAGACGACGAAGAATCTGTAGMATTCGACGAATCATCGTGCTGTTTGGAAAGTGCTGGGGAAAAAACACAACAATAAATCAACGTACGCAGGAAACAGGAATAACTGTAGAGGGACATCAACCCCCCTTCCTTTTTCCCAATCGATTTACAGTCAACTCTCGTTACAGCGGACACCCTCGGGACCGTCACTTGGTGTCCCTATTAAATAGCTAGCGTCCGCAATAGCGAGAATTAAGTACCGACGCTCATTTCTTTGTGAATATATTTGCCGGGGATTTTTCTCCAGTCCGTAATAGCGAGTTGTCCGCGTAACATCGGGGTGTCCGCAAGGCGTGAGTTGACTATACAGTGGTAAGCTTAATAAAAGGTGTAAGCTAAAAAAGAGGTTTGTCTTATTTTCTAGAAAGTAGTAGGCACGTGATGTTGATACATCACTGTACCTAAATAAATCATATTTATTTCACTCCCTCAATTTCAAATACCGTCCATTTGCTGGGTAAGGTAAATATGGTAAATGTACGACTACGCATTTTTTACGGGCTCAATCAAGACACCATTTTAAACAATAAGCTACTGTTCATGTATCATGGATATGTTCATGTATCTAGGATTCGTGAATGTTGTGAGCCTCAGTTATGGTGTACTCAGTCGCAAAGCGCATGCTCCCTTGATACCAATTGTCGATACTCCAGTTTAGAATTCTCTGCAATCTCGTACCCAGAGCCTGCGTTTCTTCTGGCAAGCGGAGAAGAACAAGGGGCTCTCCCCATTTTTTCAGACCAGGCTTTATTGGACTTCCGTTATAAGAGCGCACGCTTTTAATGATTTGTCAAGACATTAAAAAAATATCTTCCCGATTTCTAATTTTCACTTCGGAAAATTGCGCATGCGCCAAAAAATGGATTATTCCGATCCAGATCCCTCGTTCTTCGCCGCAAGCCACAAGAAACGTAGGTTCTGGGTACGAGATTGAATTTTTCGCCGTACAGGGTTAACCTTGATTTCTTATGGAATTACATCCCAGTAAAGGTCCGTGGAATTTCAAAGAGTTCGTATTATTAAATTTGTGCACTCTTTGCTTTAGCACTGAAATGGGGCTAACCCTGTATAAATGAGTGTGTGGTCAAGGAACACAGCGGTTTTTGACTAATTCGAAAACGGTTGATTTGTGATGGATACAGAGGGGAAAAATTTTTTTATCTTGGACTTTCTACAGGAAGCCCGAGTAACTTACCCGGGTGTTTATCGTGGACATTCTTGCCTCCCTTCTTCTTTTTACCCTTGGCAGCTTTGCCCTTTTTGAGCTTCTTGAGTTTAGGTTTCCCATGACTATGATGGCTACCATGAGCGTGCATCGTCGCTGGGTGTGGCTTGTAGACAGTCTGAGGTGGGACGACCCCGCCATATGGGGCTGGATACCCGGCCATACCGGGGTACCCGGCAGTTTGACCATATCCTCCGGGATAGCATCCAGGTGGGCTACAAGGCGTTTGCCCAGCTCCCATACCACACTGTGGATTGGTGCAGGGTTGATACGGCATTTGGTGCATCATTTGTAAACCCCCGGTAGTATCGATATGGGGTGGATGGCAGATGATACGGCAGTTGATACCGGCTACGTTGATGTCGTAGCACCTTGTTTTGCAGAACTTTTCCTTAGCTGCCTTATCGTCTAATGGCATGTCCAGTTCCTTGGTTTCAGACGACTTATTCTTGGCAGTAGAGTTGTGAGAAACGCTATCTGTCAATTAAGAGGAAATGTTTTTCAATAATGAGAAATAATGGCAAAAAGCGCCAAAAACTAGACTTTCATATGAGTTTTGATCCCAATTTTTGTTTTGGGCTAACACTCAAAACGTCTTTTAAACAGCTAGAAACTGATGTACTATGATAAAATGCCTGTTTGAAGCGGTATTTTCAATTGTACAAAGATGTTTTGTTGCATTGGTTTTAAAATGTTGCATTGTCAGGCTTTTTTATAGAAAATATATGGGAAATAAGCAAATGAAGGCTTAAACCTCATTTTCGAATAAAATGTTTGCTTTGGGTTAACACTTTGATTCCACTTTCATCGGTCATCTCCACTTCCAAACAAGTAAAAGTTTCTGAGTAACAAGATTTTAACCTTGTACAACAGCCTCTCTTCAAGAAAATAGTTTTTGGCGCTCACTGCTTGAATACCAAAAGAATTCTCGCTTAAAAATTATAAAATAACTACAAGAGTGATTACTCGAATTACTAAGGGACTCCTTTTGTGGGTTTTTTACGTGGCGGCCATGTTTGTAATAGGTCAATTGCATCATAACGTCATTTACTACCACTACCAGACTCCCTTGCACACTTTCTTTTGTTCAGTTAATTAGCACCAATTGTCTTACTATTCTCATGAGGAAATACAAATTTGAATAAGAAAGAAAATTCGCGAAGCAAATTTTCAGTCGTAGTAAAATGACGTCATCATACAAACCGCGGGATATTGAACAATAGATTCCACTACGTGTAGCCTAGCATGCAAGTACTTGAGAATAAATTATGCGGGTGAAACAAGGATTTTATTCTCATTAGAATAAACATGGGTGCCGTGTGATAAACGTCCATTGCTAATTAGGCTAAATATGGCGTCCTCGCTCGCTGATTGGTTGTTGTGTGTGACGTCATGACTACAAACTTGGGTTGAACAAGAAAAATTTGATTTTTTTAAAGCCGACATCTCACCTGATAACATTGCAGCTTTCTGAGCTTTATGTTTAAAGAGAAAATATTTAGATAATATTAGTTAATTAGTAATAAGTATGGTTAGCATTAGATTCATTTTAATGAAAAAGAAAACAGTTCTTTTTACTTTCCATCCTTCCCTTCTCT